ATCTTCTCTTCATCGCAATTCAAATAATGAGATGCCTTCTCGAAAACATGAACTCAGCTAAACAAGTATCAGTTGAAAGCGTATCGTGGGTGGAATAATAACTTCATTCACCTCAGGTCATGAAAGACAATGGCAGGAAAGATGGTTGCTTTCCCTCTCAGCCGAGACACGCAAGCAATCTTATTATTACCTTGAGATTATAGAGCATTTTGATATTTTAGTTGATAAGTTAGAAAAAATGAGGTTTAACCAATTACATCCTTTTAAGTTTATATTCCCCTTCGCATTCGGTGAGGTTTCCAATGTAGTACAGTCGACTCAAGGTTCCAGAACTCGTTCTGGGACAGTTAAATAGACCATGCAATTTTTTGTAGTTTTTAATCTAAGCCATTTTTAGTCGTCGAACAGATCTTCATGTCTTCTTGGTACCGAGGGTTCCAAACATCGCAACTGGTTCTTCGAAGGCTCTTTATGTTGCAGGAAGAAGCGCTATGACATGACTTTTAATCTTGAAGGAAAAATTGGTTGAAAGGAATTCATGAAATGGTCTCACCGAAGACCTAAGAAGGATTGAAGATATAAAGACCAAGATGATGTGGCCTCTTGTATGGTCGCAGTTCACTGTCTGCTGCTCGGAATCATGACAACTACTATGGTAGATGACTTCGGACTATGTACATTCTACTAAGTCCCCCTGACAACAAGACCAAGTTGCGACAACGACATTAACCCAGTTCTAAGAAGGATTGTGGTGGAGTAGAGACTGTTAGATTGTGTGAACAAGTTCTCAGCTCACCGCGCTGCCACCCAATTAACCTGTGCTAAGCTTTCGTAAGCATATTTTTGCTATATTTTGCAGAGTAGGGATTTTTGCTCTGATAATGTATATCAAAATACAGATGAGAACTTAGCACAAGTCGGTCGATGTCACGGGACTGTGAGCTGAGGAAAATCCAACAGTTTTCCTTCCTTAGCAATCCTCCTTCACTTTTCGATAATAACATTTCACGAATTCTTTCCAACCAACTTTTCCTTCGAAATGGATGTTCATGTCACAATAAATCACTATTGCATTCTTCGAAACCCAGTTTTTTTTCATTTATATACAATTTTTACACATACTGTTTTTCAGCGTGCGGTCAATTAATATGATGAACCTACTAATTTTGTGTGATTATTCTAGTCGCGCTTACTTATTTTATATTGTAAATGTCTTAAGCCCAATGTAGACCCCACAAAGTTTCCCAAATAATACAACAGACAATTTCCCCGACCGATAAAATACTTCGCTATCCTATCCTTGATCTGTTTGAAAACAACAAAGTAAGAACGTAGCTACGAAAACCAATATTTTGTGGGCTCTATTTAAGTCGCAGTCTCCTTTTGATGTTTATTAGTCATTTGAACCTGCTTTTGCAGCGTAGTCATATTGGCAGGAAGACCTAGAGGAACCAAACTTGCTGGTAAAATGTCTGGAAATGTACCAAGTCTACGGTCCGACTTTGGAGATTATCATGCTTACTATGGACTCTGGACGAGGTGCATTCTTCCAGATCTTCCTACCAATATGGCCAAGTTGCGAAGAAAGGTCGAATGACTACAATAAAGTGAGAAATTCGGGAAAATTCTAAGAGCTATTCTGCAGCTTGTTTCATTTTCAGATATCTTCGTTTTCCTCTCCATTTTCTCTCTCGATTCAACATTACCTAACTTCATTCCTGTAATGGATCTCCATGATAAAGGACCATAAACGCAATTTGCATTAATTACTAATCCAAGGGACTTTACTCTTTTGTTTAGTCATATCAATTATATATATTTGTGTGTGTGTGTGCGTAGATATATGCTTTTTAACGATATTCTTAAACATTTTATTTAGTATTCCGCCTCAGCTGTGAAGGGCCCTCAAACGATGACTATAGAAGTGCCTGGCCTCCGTGGTCCACCCGGCTTTCCAGGGCCTCCTGGATCTCCGGGTGCGCCTGGTAGCTCGGGTGACATCGGTGATCCTGGGCAAAGAGGACCCCCTGGCAGTGACGGTATTCCTGGAAGCCCGGGAGTTCCTGGCCAGCCCGGAAAAGACGGCCGGCCGGGCCGTGATGGAGAACCTGGCGGGCCTGGATGTACGGGACCTCGTGGTCCAATGGGTTCCATGGGTTTAGTTGGTATGGCAGGACCGATGGGACCCAAGGGCGAGACCGGCATGAAAGGGATGCAAGGAAGTCCTGGACTTGATGGGGAAACTGTAAGTATGCATTTCGTATATTCTATAGAGAGTTTGATCTACTGAAATTTCTATGAGTAGTATTGGTGTTTCGTTTGTATTGAGGTAGTTAAATCTCATTATTCGTTGTGAATACATGTTGCTGGTCAAAATAGTAGTCCAAATCAAATCTGAGCATCAGACCTCAGTTTATTGGCCGTATTTTCTTGAAGTATTTCCCTGGTTTTCTGCACTGACTAAGCGTTAGAGCAATCATACTATTTGTACTCTGCCAAGACGATGGCATAAGTGATCTATAAAACAGGAGTAGAGATTTTAACAGAATTCATCAGCATGAAACAGGAAATAAGCCATGCAAAGTAAGGCAACTTGGCCGCAATGTCAGCAATGTGCTGTGCCAGGCACATTATTTGGTAGGATAATTTATAATTTTGCCCTATTTTCAATTAGCATTGCAGACAGGAGCATTGAAATTGACTGTTCCGACCATCTAACCAGCCAACATGGTCGATCTAATTCCGTAATAGATCTTCCATCATCTCATCTGGGGGCTAATCAGCATATGTCATAGGTCCAATCTCAACTTTTTGCCCTAGTCTCCCTTGAAAAAGCCCTAATTGAAGACTTTTGATACATTTCCATCAACCCTTGCGAGGATGATTGCTGTGAGGAAATGGTATCTCCAGGAAAACCAACCCTTCGGCGTCCTCCATCATAGCAGTCACGACAATTTCCAACATCGTACTGTTGACATGGTGCATTCCCAGGCGTTTCGCCGGCCTATCAGTCGGCAGCATCAGTCCGAGGCGACAGCCATAGCGACAAGAACTGGGCTATCCTGACTGTGGGGCGAGGCCTCCGCGACAGGACCTATGCTAAATAGTTTGGCAATCAAAAAGCACTTTTTGAGCAAGAGACATGAAGAATTAGAGCCTTAGAAATTGGCTCATGTCTGTTGCTCATGTCTTTTTTTGGTTAAAATGGCCACCTTAGCCAAAGAGGGCAAAAGGGAACTCTTAAAGGTTTATAAAACCGCTTCAAACTAGTCGATCGTCATAATGAAATACAAGTGAACACTAGCGATGTAAGAGAATATACTACTATTATTACTACTACTACTACTACTACTAATAATAATAATAATAATAATAATAATAATAATAATAATAATAATAAT